GGGGGGGGGGGGCTTTAAAAGGTGGCAGCAACAGACTTATTCAAACCATCACTCGCGTTAACTTGCTTTGTCATTCCATAGTAAAAACTGGGTGGTTTTGTTTTGGTCTGTCAACTCGGCCTGGGCTGGGATTTCCTCGAAAATGACGAGCGAAGTGAGTGGGCGTGAAGAAAGACGCAGTTTCTTAGACGTAGGTATGACTCGTGTGTAGAATTGTCACGATTCTAGGCCTGTTTTTCCGAAGGGGGTCTCAAACTAAACCAGGGGCGGGGCATGATACTGGGTGGGTGGGGTGGGGGGTAAATTTTGACTCCCCACTCTTTACAACATTGAACTAAAAGCTTCTTTTATCCATAATAATAATAATATTCTTAACAATCAAGGTTGCCACACGAGACTGGAAATCTCACACGTACAATGTGTGCGAAGCGTGTCAAATTAGTTCGGAAGAAGTGGCGTCGGGTGGGTTGTAAGGAGGGTGGGGCTTGCAGTGAGCAAACATGAGATCCCTGCTTAGATTATAATGGGTGTGTACTGACAGAAACATGCGTATAAAAAGACAACGTGAAAACATAAGTACATTTGCATTAAAAGTATTGTAAAACTGTTAGTGGCAGTCCCACATTTGAAACCAGAAAATGGACTCATCGATACGTCTTTAAACCCATACATGTTAATGAACTGTACTCTTCGATTTTTATGTTGAGTAAACTTGCCTATGACCTTTTGGTTGAACTATGCATCCTTCGACATAAATCATTCAGGATTAAAACATCTCTTTTGCTTTCCATCCACAACAGAATACGAACATTCTGCTGGTTGAATGGACAAGTCTCTTGACAGTGAGCTTATATCTTCACACCTCAAAGAAGTTAAACGAGTTTCCAATAAGTATTCTACACGATTCATTACTGCATTGAAGAAAATGTGCCATTAAATTCCAATTTAAAACTTCCTCAACCTACTAATACAATACCCAAAAGTATTTGTTTTATGATTTGTCCGATCTCTACACAGAGCAAATAGAATACTATACACAAGATATAATTGGTTTCGAACCCGCCCAAAACTTCATTCAAGTGTACACACCTAATCTACCTAAGCTCAGTAACACCACCCCAGTATCACGGCTTAATTAATTAAAGAAAACCCCTAGAGCCATGGGGTAAAAAGGGAGTGGGGAGGCGAGGGGTGTGTGTGCTCAGTCTACGCTTTGGTCTGAAGTAGTAAGGGTGTGTAAATCTGGTAGTGGTAGCAAGAGTGAAGCAATGCCAAGCCTTTACACGTTCCACAGCGCGTGGATGCGGCTTCAGCACCCCGAGCCTGATAGAACTATCAATATTTTCTTTGCCTCGGCCTTGAAACATGTAAGACCAATACCAATGATAGTACATAACAAGATGGGCCACTTCTCTCTTTGAGCCAATTAAAAAAGTGTCCTCAAAATTTGGTGGCGCCCTCTTCACAAAAGCGCACTCTTTGCGAACAGAGTTACCCTACTTGAGTTAAAACAAATCAAAGTGAAACTAGCAAGTTTT